TTCCATCCGTTGATCAAGTCCAATCCAACGCACCATAATTGAGATGATTGCGCGCTTCACTTAAAGATCACTGCGACATAGAGGGCAAAATTGTCCATTCGTTCAATTCAAACTGATCACTTCTCCACTTCTGCAAGTAAATACCCCGTCCCATCTGCCTATTCACAATCCCGAAGTCCCGAACCCTCTCCAACTTGCTCCTGCTCCGGCGACGAAAGCTAGGCGAACCACTGCAACGACGAGAAACTTCAACGACGAACAGAGAGGAGACTATAGCCGAACACACCACTGCGTTCTGAGAGGGACACGAACCGTCTTCTACGACACTGATTCGCTACAAAACACACAAATGGCGAACAAAGACAAACAACGAGCATGCAATGGTATATTTCATTTATTATTAGTGTATTCTGTAATATTTAACTTCAATGTGTCAACTAACATCTTAACCCTACCATCGCTGTATTCTTTTGAACAATTCATACTAGGGCATCGCATTGCATGTTATTTGTGCATTATAAACATTAATGTAGTATATATTTCGTTTATTATTGTTGTTTTCTGGTATTTGTGACATGAATATTGGTGAAAAAACTGTTGGGTGTTTAATTTTTGTACACAGTGCATATTTATCCTACCATTGGTGTATTTCATATTATGAATTTGTTGTATCTCGTTACGTGTTGTCTGTCTATGATAAGCATTAATGTGGTGTATATTTCGTTTATTATTGGTGTTTTCTGTAATGTATAACTCGAATACTGGTGAAAAATTTGTTGTGAGTTTATTTGTTGTACATTGTGCATATTTATCCTACAGTCGGTGTATTTTGAGCATTACAGGCCGGACATTTCATTACGTGTTATTTGTTTTATGGTGAACATCAATGTAGTGTATATATCGTTTATTATTGGTGATTTCTGGGATTTGGAACTTGAATATTGGTAAAGAGTGTTGTGGTGTGTTTAATTTTTATGCATGGTGTATTTTTGTCCTACCATCTGTGTATTTTAGACAACAAGAGAAAGGCATTAGACCAAGGAGACTCGTCAAAGCCACGGCAGCAGAGAAAACAAGAAGCAATGACATTCCTTGACAGAATAGAAGATGAAACAGAGACAGATGAACAAGTGCATGAACAAGAAGTTGATGACAGCTCAAATGATGAAATAGATACATTGGAGCAAGAGAATGAAGATACTGACCTAAAGATAAGGCCACTGCCAACACAGCTAACAAAACCCATTAATGCCCTAACCAAATAACAACGCCAGAGTATAAAAGACATTGGGCTGGGAAGGATTCTTGACCTCAAAATCACAAACCTTCCAAGGAAACTGGGGATGTGGCTGGTTGAAAACTATGATGCAAGGAGCAACACATTGAATCTGCAAAATGGCCAAAAACTACAGATCACAGAAGAAGATGTTGCTGTGACATTGGGACTGCCGCTTGGAGACATAGAAATCACTAAGAGGGAAAGTAAAGCAGTATCTGATCTCCTGGCAGACTGGAGAAAAATCTTTGGAAGGGCTGACGGCTACATCACCCCATGCAAGATGGCTAAAAAATGTTGACATTGAGAGCTGCTGACCCATGGTTCAAACGGCATTTTGCACTACTTGTTATGAGTGTGTTAGTGGAGCCACAGATAAATGGTTATGTGAACCAAAGCTACATTGACAACTTGCGTCAAGTTGACAACATCAAGAGGCTCAATTGGTGTAGAATGCCGATCAATTCACTCATTGCAAGCAAGAAGGCATGGCTGGAAAGCTGTGATGGAAGGTTTGGAGGACCAATTGTTTTCCTAACAGTAAATAGACACTCAACAACCTTGTAATTACTTTCACATCACCCTATGAATAATCTAAAGTACCAAATGCAGGTATTCTATGTTGACCGTGTGGTGCTCTACCGGAGGTCTGTCCCAAGAAGCTACCCTGCCATGAATAGCTGGACATTTAAATTGCTCCGACAACGACAACAGGATGAGCTCAAGTCTGGAGGATTCAGATATGGACGCGTTGATACTGCCTTACCACTAGAGATCACAACACACTGTGAAGCCCCACCCCCACCCCCACCACAAGAAGAGACCCCACCACTGCCACAAGGATTACAGGTAACCCAACCACTACAATGGTAATTGGTGCATTTTGTGTGTAATATGGTGCATTATCTGACTGTGGTGTATTTTTTATAAATATTTGGTGTATATTACAATATGTATTGGTGTGTTTATACTATAGTGTTTCATGTACAAGAGTTTGTTGATGAGATTACCACCCACACTAGGTCAATTGCACAGAGCCTATTGAGAATATCAAAGCTAATTGAAAATGCACCTGCAGCAGTATTGGAGCATGATACATTCAAGCATATGTTTGAATCTGCTAGGCAAATGCTTGGATTCAGAGCACAAAATGATGGAGAACTAACCTTTACTCAAAGAGAGGATGCCTACTGGAGTGACCCTGAGTTCTTGAAGGCAGTAGATGAGATTGTCCGTGCAGTAAACAAGAGAAATTTTCTAAATGATATGCCATATTTCAGCCTTGGATTGACACCAGAGGAACAAAATAGACATTGGGCGGACGTGAATGATATTGCACGAGACTACCAAGACATTGATCAGGCTGCAAAAATGAAGAAGTTGAGCTGAACATGAATGAGGGTGAAGAAGCAACTGAAGGAGAAGAAGATGGACAAAGGGTTCAACCAGATGCACCTGCTGATAACAATGATGAGGTAATGCACTGTATTAAATTGGCGACGTGACAAAAAGAAAAAAAAAATTAAAATCTAAATGTTACAGGTCACACCGGCAGACCAAATTCAAGAGGGGCCTGCTTCAGATCCACCACCCCCACCCCAACCATTGGACAAAGGAAAGAGACCAGCTAGAGGGAACAGCCCAATCAGACCTAAGGCCCGCATATATGCAACTGATCTGGAAGCCCCAATAACTTCAATAGAGGAATCAATCAGACAATGGGTATTAGAAAACCCTAACCCAGAACTGTAAGCACAACACATTCTACTTGGTGTATTTCTAAAATATATTTGGTGCATTGTATAATAATATTGGTGTATAATTATCATATATTAACTAGTGCATTATTTGATAACCATTGGTGTGTTTATATGGTTGTCTGTGTTGACACATCTAGTTTCTTAGGTTTTGTGTGATACTCAATAGTTATTAGTGTATATCTCTATATATATTGGTGTATTCTCGTTAAATGAAATATTAACATCGAATGGTGTGTTACTGCTATAACTTCGGTGTATGATTTAATAATGTTGATGTATTAATATTTTTTTTGCTTATACAATACATTATTACCAGTGAGCAGGAACTATTCAGGTATGAAGGAAGGGTAATCTACTGGAGAGATATGTTGTTAATGGTGCCAGATATAGAGATTCCAGTATCTATAGTTGATGCTTGGGCAGCCATACTAAACATTCGTGAAGGAGAGAGAGGGTCTACAAAATTTGTTGCTTCAACTTGGACAAGTGTAAGCAAAGAATATGAAAGTAACTACACCTGTAAAACCCCTACAAATCTAACAACTATACCATTGAACTTTGCAGCTGTACACAGTTGTGAACCCGCAGGGGGATGAAAATTTAAGATTCAAAAGATTCAAAGAAAAGTATCTGCAAGACAAGGCGATTGCTATAGACATCATGTGGCACAAAGTTGTATACGTAAGTGGTGTATTTGTCTATTTGTGGTGCATTATTACTCATATAGTGGTGTATATTATGACACATGTGGTGTGTTTTTGTTATAACAATTTCTGTTTTCCATAGTGGCATCCAACAACTACTACTTGCTGTCTATTAGCCCACTAATGGAAAAGTTTGACATCATTGACAACTCTTCAGCACCTGTGAAGAAACAGGACAAATATAGATATGTGCTTGACAATCTGGTAACCCACTAAACACTACCTGGTTATATATATTTAATACAAAACTACACAAAATACTAATATTATTGTATGCTTCCTTGATGCAGCAAAAATTCTTTTCAAATATGTTGATCGAACAGAAATCCGCGTACAAAGGTGAGAAGGTAAAGAAGCTGAAATCCAAGATAATGAAGATGCCTTGGAGAGATGCGCATAACAAAAAGGATTGTGGCATCTTTTTAATGCGCCATATGGAAACCTTCCGTGGACAGTCAGCTGAAGAATGGGATTGTGGATTGCAGAAAAACAACAAAGAACAATTGAACAAGTTATGAGTGAGGTACTTGGCTGCCTTGATCACCTCAGATGTGAATGAACTGAAAGAAATAAACATACAGAAGGCAGCAGAATTTGGTGTTTAGGAAGACTTTCAATCATGTAAATGTTTTTTTGTGATGGCATGACATAGACCATATGACTACTAGATAAACAATGTTTTGTGATGGGTACTTGTGAATGCCTTACCCATTTGCATTGCTATAAATGCAGTATTATTATGCATACACTTCATTTTATAAAAGGACACATCAAAAACACCATTATAACAAATTGCATGCACCATTCCACTTTTAACTTGCAAAATGCACCAACATATGAAATAAAATGCACCACACAATATATTACCGCCAACATAATTCTATATATAAAAATGCACCACAAAACGGAATAAAACACACCATTCTAATATAAAAACATCCGACATTCTTAAATGCACCACACTGTTTATTAAAAAACACCAAGTATTGTAATAAAATGCATAACTGTATGTTATAAGAATTGTACGCAACTGTGAAAACATATAGGTCCCAAAATCAAACTACACAACTGTATCTAACCATTCAAAGGGCATGTCCTACTATTATGACCATATTCATCACAAGTATGGCATTTCCTTGATTGCTTTACACACTTGCTAGCAGCTTTCTCCCTTGTACTCTTCAACCGCTTACCGCTACCCTTGTTCTTAGCTTGAATAGGATCACGCACCTCCACTGTTGAACCTCCACAAAATGTGTCTTAGGGTTCAACAGTGGAGGTGCGTGATCCTCCACCAGCCACCACCCCACTGCCATCCTCACTCCCCTCTTGGAGATATAATTGTCTTTGCTCGCAAATAACACGTCGTAGCTGTGACAAACGTTCTATATTACCATCAGCCAAGCCCACGCAAGCATATATGTCAGACCACAATAGATTAGTAAAAATCCTAACATTCTCCACTTTAGAAGATTGATCAACAATTGTATCATTAATATGAAATATTGGCTTCAAACAAGCACCCTTTGTCCACCGAGACACCACATACCTAGAAGGAATACTCTCAAGCCCACGATCTTTAAACACAAAAAAAAATATGCCTACACAACAACCCCGTCCGCTCAAACATCTTGCAAGAACATGTAGCAGTATAATTAGACAAGACTAGCTCCACATACCATGCCCGTTGGGCACCATCTTTTATCCCATATGACACATGGACATCACAATCACACAAAGACACCACTTGACACGAATAACAAGCTGCACAAATCTCTACTTGAACATCATAAAATACAGAAATGGTGTAAACATCCATTGCATGCTTCTCCAAAGCCAATGGTGTCTTCAAAACAGGAAAACAAGATTCACAATCAGCATTCAATTTTGCTTGTGCATGACGCTGCAACAGCACTTCCAAAATGCACCAAGAACTCAACCAAACTAGAATGACCATTAGAGAACGTACCAAAAAAAAAACTATTTTGAGACTCTGATCGAGACGTTGTCCTAACCAGTCCTGACATAAACTCGTCGTGAAAATATGGGGATGCCCAATATCTACGAGACTCGAACAAGTAATGAAACCAACCATTGTCACCCAAACCATATTCCTCCATGATACAACTCCATGCCTCCTCAAAGGACTTGGAGTCCAGTGATTTGTTCCAGACAATGCCATTCAACTTCCTCCTAAACACTTCATCTTTAGATAGAATCGGTCCAACCTTCTCACCAACCTTGCACATTATATGCCACATGCAAAATCTATGTTTTGATGTACCAAACACGCGAGCAACAGCAACCTTGAGAGCTGGATCTTGATCAGTAACACCACATATAGGGTCATGACACATAGTTTTCTTAAATTTCTCCAAAAGCCACACATATGAGTCTACATCTTCCCTCATGAGCAAACCAGCACCGAAGGTGATGGATCTCTTATGGTTATCAATTCCAGTAAATGGAACAAACACCAACTTATACCTACAACACAACAAGCAATCAACACCATACTTCTAAGAAAACACACCATAAGGTATGGAATCATGCACCACAGACAAATACAACATGCACAATAAAAATAAATACTAACCTGTTAGTACGGTATGCAGCATCAAATGAAACAACATCACCAAACAATGCAAAATTCTTCCTAGATACTGCATCCACCCAAAAAACCCTTGAAAGCTGATCACCTTCATCAACATCATATTCAAAATCAAATGCCTCACACAACTCACGTCTCTTAAATAGCGTATCTATGAATAATTGAGCATCATCATTTAGAATGTACGCCATCTGGTCACGCTTGAAATTCTTAAAATCCACACCTGTAGCCCCGACACTGGAATACTCACCAACAATCTCTTTAAACAGCCTATATGACTGAACAGACCCAATATTTGCCCGAACACAACTAGCAATAAACATTTGGTGCCCAGCATCGAGACTACGATTCACCTTTAAAAATTACCTAGCAATAATTGAACACATCGAATGGGTGTGACGTTCCTCAAAATAATGCACAACATACAACCCATTAGACTTACGCTTTATCACAACCTTAGCCTTACAACCAACCCTATTTGTCACCCTCCGTCTCCTCGCCAAAGTAGTTTTAGCAACCCTAGAAACCCTCTGCTTATAACCCTGACGGTTACATACTATGTGCTTCTCCACAGCAACACCATCCCTATCTTTCCGAATTGAGTGCTGCCTACAATCAAACCCAACAGTCCCAGCATATTGTTTATAAAACACAACAGCACCATCCAAGGAAACAAATTGTTGCCCCACGATAGGCTTCACACTGTCAGCACAAACTGGGCGCTAATACTTAGTCAGCCCAGGAGAAGTTTCCAACACACATACACTGCCTTGTACACCCACATCAGCCAAATAATCTTCATCACAACCCACACCACTGCCTGCTACTCCAACATCAGTCACATTACCTTCATCGCAACCATCACCATTGCATTCTACACCAACATCAGTGGGATTACCTTCATCACAAACACCACCATTGCCTTCTCCACAAACATCAGTTGAGTTATCATAAACACCACCACTGCCTTCTCCACAAACACCACCAAATTGCAAAACATCAGCTGCACACCACATGTTAACTAATAAAGCACCACACCTTATCCAATACCACACGAATAACCCTACCTACATGCACATTATACATGCATAAAATCTAATACTGCCATACACATCATCAAATAATATATGCACCACGAGTATACAAAAAGTAAACCGTAATCACAAAACAACACATAGCAACATAGTCAACATCGATACACAGCAAATCCATAAAAAACGCATGCGATAAACTTCCAAATCATAACAGACACATAGTAATACAAAAGACAAATTAAAACTACAAACATGAGAAATTCAAAACATACCAGGCTCCATCGCTCAACCTCAATAATCTCCCAACTGCGATAATCTGTAATTGCAAACGCAACCGATATCTCGTCCAACTTCCGATTGTGATCTCCAGCGATATTCTCCGAATTCCAATTGGGACGCAATCACGAACACGATCGCGATCTTGATTTTCTTCCAATTACGACGCGATCACGAACGATGTCTTGATCTCTCTTTCCTTCCGTGTTTAAAATCACACAAAATAAATCGTCTTTTATACATTCACGTCCCCATCCCATTAAATTACTGAAACGCCCCCGCTTACCAAAAACACGACAAACTTTACTTAATTCAACTAATATGTCGCTGCCGTTAGATTAACTTCGATCAACGACTATAAACTGACCTCACCGCCTCACCTAAGGCCATTACCGCATATGAGCATCTACCTATATATATATATATATATATATATATATATATATATATATATATATATATATATATATAGGGGTGGTCACATGTGGTCATGTTGTTAGGTGTGGTCGTGTGGCGGAATTTCAGAATACACCAATAGTTAAGTAAGATATACACCATCAACGTCAGGAAATGCACCACAAAAAACGCACACAAATTAGGTACGGATCACCAACAACACACCATTAGGTGTGAGTAAAAACATCATACAGTGTTTGGAAATACACCATTGGGGTTTGTGAGTTATATGGGGTATTTTTTGGGTCTGTTGTGTATTTTTTGGTATTTTTTTTTAGTATTTCATTGTGGTGTGTTTCCCTTACACTGTTGGTGCATGTTATTAACACTGTTAGTGTATTCTGAAATTCCGCCACACGACCACACCTAACAACATGACCACAAAGAGTTTTTTTTTTAATACTATTGACTCTATTACAAGGTAGTATCTGTTCTATACTTTCTCTAACTATTACAGCTCAAAGAGTCAAGACCCCACTACCAAGGTTCACGGGGGATCATCTGAGCACAAGATGCTTGACCAACAAACAAAGAGTTAAATTTATTAAATTTTTTTTAAATAACTTCAAATTTATTTTACTCTTATAAAATTTGTTTTTTTTTTTATATAAATGAAATTGTTTTACATTTATTATATTATGCGTCTTAATAGTTTTAGGGTATGTTGCTATGTTTTTTTTTTTTTTTTTTTTTTTTAGAACCTGTTTCTTTTGCTTAATTGCATGGTTTTCGTATTTTTTGTATTATGTTAGAGTGTGCATATAGTTGGAAATAAATCTTTAATGAGTAATCTAAATATGAAAGAGTTTTGTAGGCACACAATATTTTATTTTAATTGTAAGTCAGATAAAAATATCATACTAAAATGTAGAAACTTTGTAAAAAGACCTCTATAAACATATATTACAGTAAATGGCTAATAAATAATAGTGTCAATTGATTTACATACAAAAAAATAAAAAAATAAAAAAATACTCCGTATCTAATAAGAATTTTCCCAATTGCATTCCCTGCTCAGCGAACTTTTGACCTTCATTCTCAACTGCATTACAACTGCACTGCAGTTGCTGATTCCTTGTTACATGTAGTATTTTTTGTATAGTAAAATAATAATTAATCATAAAATGTATATAAAAAAAAAAAATGAAGAAAGTAGAATAGTCCTTACTTCCCTCTAAATTCTCTAAACTCTAAAAAAATCGTGGTTGAACCACAAATTTGTGGCATCATACATTCATACGATGTTATTCTGACCTCACCAATTAGATAATTTATTTTTAAAGATAAATTTTTAAAAATAAATAAAACATTATAGAAAACAAAAAGAAGATTCTAATTACCATTGAAAAAGTTTGCCCTGCATAGCTGGATTTCCACAATTATAGGTTCATTTTGAGTTGCATTATAGTAAGGCAACATGGAAGACACATGCTTGTCCCAAACTATGCACTTTATACGATTATCCTTGTGCAATAGTTATAAAATAATAATAATAATAATAATAATAATAATAATAATAATAATAATAATAATAATAATAATAATAATAATAATAATAATAATCATGCAGAAAATAAATCTACTAAAACAAATAAATAAATAAATAAATAAATAAATATATATATATATATATATATATATATATATATATATATATATACACACACACACACACACACACTAATAATCTACATCTACAAATCTAATAAGAGCTAATAATGTTAGGCCCTTAACTGGAACAAAAAAATGTCGATAGTAGTTGTTTCTTAAAATGAATGGTTCATATTATTTTGATTTTAGTATTTTTTTAATGATTTTTCTTATTTACCCTCTATTATTTTATTTTCTTCCCTTAAATAACCCTAAATTCCGTTAGTATAAACTTTAGTAACGGGATATTTCGCTAACTATTTATTATTCTTAACATACTCATTAATTTATATAATAAAGGTCTTAGGTTCGAACATCATCCCAATTAGAATTGGCATAATATATGAATATGTTAAAATGTATTAAAAATATATATATAATTTAAAATGTAACATAAACTTTGGTCAAATAATTAGCCCGACTAAATACATATCATTCAAAGTTGAGCATCAAAGATTATAAATCACGAACTTTAAAAATCATTTGATTTTCTTGAATTTTTTATTTAAAAAAAAAAACAAATTTAAGTTAAGTTTTTTTAAAAAAAATGTTTAATTAATCTTCTTTTATTATTTAGAATAAAACTTAATATTTCAATTATGCTTTTGCAATATTGGAATGATTTAGGTCATTATGGTATTACTATTTTTTGTATTTTTTTTATAATGGTACAATTATACATTACTTTACAAATATTACACTATTATTTTTTTTATCAAACAAAATTGTTCTTACATCATTGTCAAACATGCGCGGCCTAACTACAAAGTTGTTGATCATAAATACAATTACACATAGACTCTAAAACGGTAGGACCACTTTTCAAATAATTGACAATGTTAACATCCTACTAGCTCCAATTGAACAAGTTTAATTTACACATCAGAATTTTATCAATGCATGAAAACTTCTAAAGAAATTTGTAAATTAATTTTTACTATATCATTATAACAATATCTATTATAACCATATATTTTGAATTATTTATTATCATCCTCTATTGATATTAATCGTAGCAATTGTCATTGACAAGCTCTCAAAACAATTTCTCTCAACAATGAATGGAAATTAAAAAAAAAAATCATTGATAAAAAAAATCATTGATTTCATTATTGTTGATGAAAAGTATGTATGACACTTTATTACTCTTATTAAATTAAATAAAAAATAAATTAATAGCTACAACAAAAAATAATACATATACATTTAATTAATTTAAAATTAGATGTCTAGAATGCTTTATTTAAAAAAAAAAAAAAGTATTCATTATAAAAAAAAAATTAAAAGAAATATAATTTTATTACAATTCAAAGATTCATTACCTTCAAATTTATTAATTTATTATATTCACTACATTATCCATTGTCTTCTTTTTTACATTATCTTGTAATTAAATATCAAAGTTATGCATTCAAAAAAAATCAAAGTTATAATACAAAACATGTTTTATATATATATATATATATATATATATATATATATATATTTATTTATTTATTTATTTATTTGCCAAGTATTTTATACAAATATAATAAATATTAATATTTTGTTCAATACTTTCACATGATAACCTACGACACACATCTCACAACACAAGAAACATGTAGGGGAAAACTATCACTACTAAATATCAATAGATGTTTGTAAGATAAAGAATTCATATTACACCTAAAATCACAGTCATATACACAGCAAGACAAATCTAAAGCTTCTTACACTATAATCTCATTGCGTGATGAATCCCTCTATGCTGCCACCAGTAACTTAATTGCACATGACGCACTACCAATATAAAAAAGAAAAAAAAAAAAAAAAAAAAAAAAAAAAAAAAAAGACATGTAATGAAGATGAAAACAATGACAATGATACCCGATCACATCTGTGCTTGTTTTTATAGTTATTTTGAATCATCTCAGTATTTAAGTTCTTTAATTTTGCTTATTTAATACATATTTTCCTTGCTATTATCATTTAATTATGGTTCACACTTGTTTTGAATGTTTTACGGTGTTTGTTAGTGTTTTTGAACCATTTTAGGTCAAAGATATGAGCAAGGGGAGTTCAAGGATGAGTTCGGAGCAATTTTAGATAAGTTCGGGACCCAGAGGATTCGACGCGTCGAGCCAAAGGCTCGACACGTCGAAAATTTCCAGTACACATTCCGGTCGAGACAGCAGGTCTCGACGCGTCGAGCGACGTTAATTTCCAAAATTGCAGCAGCGTTCCAATTCCAAAGTCCAAATTCACATTTCAATTCCAAATCCCAATCAACATCAATTCCAAAGTCCAAATTCCAACTTCAATTTTATTACGGCAATTTCTTTATTTTAGGAATTATAATTTGAGTCCAATTTTGTACAAGATTCCTATTACATCTCAACTTTGTACCCACTATAAAATCCCTCCTTCCTCAACCCTAATGGAGACGGGGGACCGAGAGAATTCAGAGATTCTTGGAAACAAGAAGGAGAGAAATCAAGAGCCACAAGTTGTCTTGGAAAGCAAGAAGAAGACTAGGGAGATTTGGGAAAATCGTCTGGTTAATTCTTGTACTCTTTTGATGATTTGTAATTCTTTATTTATATTTGCTATGTATAATT